GGGAAGCGGGAGGGGAGGGGAACGGAAAGGGGGAGGGAAGGGAAGATCCCTGTGGCTGAAAGAAAGCTTATCTTACTGGGGGACTTGGTCTCCATCCATGTGCCAGGCTTACCGATGATCTGCCACAGTAACTGATGGGGGCTTGTGGGAGCCCCTGCAAGGGTGGCCGGCCTGGGTGACCTGAAAACTGCTGGAGGGGGTGCAGAGAAGGGCAGGTGAGAGAGGACAGCGGCAGGGAGGAGGGGGCCAGGTGAAAGTATCGTGTGCAGGGAGTGGGGCGCCCGCGAGCGAATGGCACGCATCACTGACTAATGCCCCGGCACCAGGCGATCCCATCGTGCTATTCCTCACTCTCTTGCCGTCTCCAGTGTGAGGTTTTCCTGCGTGTCCTTAAAGTTCGTTAAAGCTCTCCTCCTGGAAGGAAAGATCTGGCTTCCCCTTTGCGTGTCGGGATAGGTAGGTCAGCGTCCTCTGCCGGCGTGGGACGTGGGCCTGAAGACAGCTGAAACAGCAGAGGTGAGGCTGAGCGGGCCAGAGCATCACGGTTTACAGCTGCTTCGTCCCTGGGTCGAGAGCAGGACCACTGTGTGCACAAAGGCGTCTCGGGTCTGAGCTGATTTTGTCTCTGCTCTTCCCTTCCCCTTGCAGACCTCTCCTCAGCTGCAGCTGTGCACGCAAGATGCCTGGAGTCTGCGTGGAGCCATCCTTTGAGAGTTCAGCAGATGATTTTTTAATGTAGCGCTAGAGATTTTCTTTAGTGCACATAAAGGGTTTTTGCTGCTGCTGCTGCTGCTTTTTATTTATTTATTTTCTTCCTTTGACCCGGGCCTTGCCCTGCTCTTGCGGACATGATGGCCCACTCCAAGGCCAACGGCTCCCACCACGCCCTGACTGCCATCGGCCTGGGGATGCTGGTCCTCGGGGTCATCATGGCCATGTGGAACCTGGTCCCTGGCTTCAGCAGTGCGGAAAAGCCGACGGCTCAGGGGAACAAGACTGAGATAGGCGGAGGCGGCGGCAGCATCCTCAAGAGCAAGACCTTCTCCGTGGCCTACGTGCTGATCGGCGCAGGGGTGATGCTTCTGCTGCTTTCCATCTGCCTGAGCATCCGAGACAAGAGGAAACAGCGACAGAGCGAGGAACTGGCCCACATCCAGCAGCAGGCTGGGGCCACGCCTCACGTCCAGGAGGAGGACAGGTGAGGACGCCCAGGGCCAAACCGGAGGAGGGGCGCACGCACGCTTTCAGGGGTGACCGTATGTGAATGTGGAAGGCTTGCGCTTCCTGCTTTCTTCTATGAAGGCTCTGCAAAACAGTTTCCCGTTTTAGAAAGCACTTGATGCTTCTAGACCAAGGTGTCTCAAATAATGTGTTACGAATGGGTTACAGGGCTCTCAAGATTTTGACCGCCCCAGGGAAACTGAACGGGCCCTGGGTGACCAGGGCCACCTGCGTGGTTACTTGTCCATCTGACCCAGGGTGCTGTGTACGTACGGTTTGATTCAAAAAGGTCAGGAACCAGTATTGCATTTGCCCCCACAACTCCACAGACATGTTTCAAACGACAGGTGACAAACTGGGGACCATGTGAGAAAGGTGGAGATCTCCAGTTTTAAAAGAGCCTTTCTAAGTGGCCATGAATGCCCCAGACAGAAAATGGACAAAACTTGTAAAGAAGCAGTCAGCTCATTGAAATGAGTTGTTTAACCTCATTAGTCAAGAAATGCAAATAAAAAGATGTCTTTATCGTGAGCCTATCATATTGGCCAAGATAGACCCCAGTGTTGTGACATTACAGGGAAGGCGGGTACAGAGGGAGTGTGGACAGGTATAACATTTCTGGGGAGTTTCGTCATGAGGGGTGGTGGTAAAGTTGCATGCCCTTCCGCTCTGATGCTTAGGGTTTATCCTCAGAAGACGGTCACACAGTGTGAAGGGTTTTATAGCAGTCCGTTTGGGAGATCGACCTGCTCAGTGCGTTCCCAGCCACTGCACACCCGCACTTATTAATGGGGACCTTATCACAGCCCCAGGAAAGGAGATGGTCACCCAGGGTCTCTGGTGAGATCCTCTCGCATCTCCTGGGAGGTGGGCTCTGGTGGGCTCTGGGAGAGTTGTGCACCCGGATATTCCCCGTGGTTCTCTCCAGATGGAAATGTGGGATGTTTTTATTTTCTCCATTGGATTTTTCTGTGTTTACATTTTCTACAAGCATTTCCTATCTTTAAAGCAGGAGGGAAGTTGTTTTTACATTGGGAAACTTGAGCTCTTCTGGTAATAAATGATGATTCGTGCTGCCTCAGGGTTCTCCAGAAAAACAGAATCAGTAGAATAGATACAGAGTCACGTGCGCTGCTTGTGACCGAGAGACACTCAGCAATGCGTGGCCAGGCAGTTTGGTCCTGTGAATATCACACAGCTTACTTCAGTAAATTAAGACAGCCACCGTGTCGCTAGGTGGAACAGCCTAAGGGACCGTCGTCCTATATGCTGTCACTGAGCAAAACATGTGGTACCACTGGCAAGCTGGAGCCCCGGGGAAGCCAGTGGTGTGATTCAGCCCGTGTGTGCAGGCTGAGCACCAGGGAAGGAGATACTAAATTCCCGACCGAGGAAGACGCCTAAGGAGATGGTCCAGCTCTATCGTGAGGCAGGAGAAGGGGACAGGTCCTCTTCCCTCCTTTTGCTCCGTGTGGGTCCTCAGCAGCTGGCCCTGAGCCCACCCACCCTGGGGAGGGCAAACTGCTTTACTGAATCCACCTGTTCGATGCACGCCTCTTGTGGAGATACCACTCAGACACACCCAGAAATAAATTTTAATCTGGGCACCTTCTGGCCAGGCACATAAAGTTAATCACCCCACAGGCTATTCTAGAAAGCTTGGGAAACATAGACAAGAGCAAGGGAGGAAGGGCTGTCACCTGTAACTCCCCCCGCAGCTATGAGCACATTGGGATCCCTTCCCAAAGGAGGGTACAAGGAAAACAGACCAGCAGGGAGGGGTCTGAGGTTGGCTGTGAATCCCCTGCAGGTCCTGGAGGGAAGTTTTGGCCACCTCATGTCTAAAGACATCCTGAGATTTTGGCTTTCTGTTTCAACACTTAAATGAGAGTAAGGCTGATGATCTGATCTCTTTGAGTGTTAGGATAAAC